GTCCCCGATCCAATCTGGATCGGGAGGGGGGTGGGAACGACGTGGGGGGGGAGTGCGGGTGGTTGGGTTAGGGTTTGTCCAGGGGTGGGGGTTATGGGAGTGAGGGGTGTGGCCGGTTGGGCCGGTGGCCGAACGGGCCGGCCTGCTGGGCCGAAGCCTAGTGGGGGGGGCCTTTCTCTCTTTTCCTTTTTTTTCTTTTGTTTGTTTCCTGTTTTCTTTTATTATTTCTTTCTTTCTTTATTTTAGTTGTATTTTAATTTAGTAAAATATACACTTAGTATTTCAACTTAGTCCATAGTCACAAAAAAAATCTAGACCCCAAATAACTTAGTTTGACATTTTATTAATTATAAAAGGTATTTAATTAATTGTTTTGCTACTGTTTTATTTATCTCATAGTATTTAAACATTTTATAAATGTGCGATTTTCCCATCATAATTATCTATGCAATATTTGGTTCACTCCGAACATTTTAGTTTTAATATTTGAAAACTTTTATCGTTTGCCTGATTTTGAATTTGAATTTGAATCGGTTTCGAACTAACTCAAGATTAGCAACTATAATTGAGGTGACGTGGCATCATTAGCAGAGGAGCATTGTAGCTTAATTACCCGGGCGTCACACTAATACTATCAGATTATGAATCTGAACCCTTCAAACCATATAGATTTTCCTCTGCTAATACTTCACAGCTGCAGGAGTCCTTCTTCACTACCAATGATGCCCTGATGTATGGATAATAATTAGACTTGTCACAAACAAGAACTTTGAAAGCAAATTATCTCCAAAGGAATCAATAATGCCAGACACCTTCTTTAGGCATTCAGATGCATACCAAGAAGATGGGCTGGAAGAGGCGGAGCTGGGCTGACCGCCGCCATATGCGACCGGGGATGGAGTCATCGGCCACATTTAGGGCCCTCCCGCAGGCCGCCTCCCCGGCTGCAGCGGCCCCGAGGAGCCCTCGGCAGCAACGGCCGCGCGGGGCGTGCTCAGCGGAGAGATCGGCTCCGGAGAAGGCTGGACCCTGTGGAGACGGCGTGGCGCCAGAGGGACGGATCGAGTAGAGCGAGGCGGAGCAGATGGAGGCAGCGGCGCTGAGGTGGGAGGGGAGGCGAAGGCGGCCAAGCCGCGGAGGAGACGAGACAGCGGTGAGGGAGGATTGCGTGAGTGCCCAGCTCTTTCTCTCTGTCTTCTTATTATTCTTCCGTTTTCCCAATGAACATCCAACAAGGCGTGGCCCACTCAAAACAAGAGAAGGAGAAGGCACTCCTGCCAAACCCATGAGCCCACGCAACAAAAAATAGTGTATACCTGTGTCGACGTGGACATATCGAGAGGTCGCTCTTGATGCACACGTTAATGTTTTTAATTATACTTGCATAAATGTGTGCGTAGGGAGAATCATGATGAATCTTCTAAATAATTTTGAGTTTTACACATTGAGAAAAATGGATGGTCTTTTAATATAGGAGACATGTTGATTAAGGAGAAATGATATTTCAAACTATTTGTACGAGTTGGGAATAAAAGATTGTGTACTTTATAGGGAAACTTCAAATTTATTAATAAATTGTTTTGTATTAAGTTTAGTATAATGTGTTAATTTAAATAGACGTATGTTACACGTGTACATTTATTAATCTAAATAGACGTGTGTTGCACGGGCATACACTTAGTAGTGAACACCGTGTGCAGGGAGGAAGCACCGTCGGAGACGAAACCGAAGCAGCAAAAACACCTTTCCGGTTAATAATCCAATCATCGCACGGAAAACACCACGTCTCGTCTGTCCATGTAGCAAAAGCAAAGCAATTAGTAGCAGAAGACGCCACGCAAAGCCCAGTCCGGCGTCGCCTCCTCCTCCTCCGGCGATAGGGTTTCCCCCGATGGAGCAGCCCTCCACCTCCTCGCCGGCGGCGCCGCCCCCGCCCCCGCGGCGGCCGCCGACGAAGGTCCGGCTGCGGCGCCAGAGGCTGGAGGCGCTCCTGCAGGAGCTCCGGCAGACGCTCGACGGGATGGGCGACGCCGATCTCGGCGCCTCGCTCTCCGACGCGGACGCCGGCTCCGAGGCGCCCGAGTACGGGGACGGCGAGGGCGGCGGAGACGACGACGACGACGGTGACTCGGCGGCTTCGATGGCCAGCGACTCCGACCGCGCCACGGACCAGGTACGGTACGGATGCGGCGAGGTTTGGGACTTCGAGCCTGAAAATTCAGCGCACGAGGCTTTAATGAATTGCATTAATTGGCGTGTAACTGTTGAGCAATTGCGGTAATTCGACCAAGTTCTCGTTATTTCAGGTTTGTCGAACTAACTTGATCGGTTATTAGCCATCTGGATCTGAATTGGGGGTACCTTTGTTTCCGTAACTAGTTAAAAAGTGCTTCGATGCTACTGTTCTCATATTTGTCTGTGGTTCCTCTGCTTGGTGAGTGCTGACTGCGGACTAGTTGTGAACATCTGGAGTCAGATAGCCTACCATGGAAAGATGTCCTTTTATTAGAAGCAGGATCAGATGCAGTGAGGTTATCCAAAATAAAGATGTTGACATCTGTGATGGTGGAATAGTGGAATGTGATGGTTTAGGCTAAACATCTTCCTAGTATTCATAAACTAGGAATATAACTGCCGTTAACAGGGGGTGAGGATCAAGGATCAGTATAGCACGTGCAACCATTTTTCTATTTTGCACGTTATCCCCACCCTTGCCATTTAGAATGTGTGCCGAACAATCTCATGTCACTTTGGTTTTATTTTCTCGAGTGATATGAGGGAGATCATGGAGAGTTTTTATTATAGCTCATGTGCTATGAAGCTGTTAGCTGTCCCAACACTCTGAAGTCTGAACGGCTTGCTTTCACCTTGCAGGTGTTTGATCTCCTTAAATCTAGGTTTGAGTCACCAGAATTTCTTCAGGAGTTCCATGAAATTCAAAAGTCTGTATGTCAAAATGGTGCGGGTATGCCTCCTACTGAATGCACTTGTTACTTTGTTAGTTATTACTGCTGGTAGTGCCTAATGTATCTAAGTATGGACACCTAAAATAACTAATGCAGTGGAATGTTGTGTTTCGCATATCTTTTTATTTAACCTTTCTCGAAATAGAGTTGCGATACTCTAAAGTTCATTCGATGTTCTTTGCCACAGTTGAATTGGATAAATCATGGGATGTAATAAAGGCGGGAGATGTGTGGGAAGATGATGACGACAATGGATATGTTCTTGTTAAGCCAGAGGATGCAGCTGAAGGGATAGCTTTCTTTGTAGCCACATACTTATCAACACTTACAAAAACCAAGGTAGGAATGTGATTCTATCATCACCTCGATACCTTCGTTCCTGTTCCCTTATGATGTGGTTTGATGCAATAAACAATCATTGATTTAACGTCTGTCCACATGATAATCAGTGTATTTGAGAAAAATTGGTTCATTTCCGTGTCACCACATCTCTCTATAAGAGATGCCCCAGTTACCATGTTCCGGACTTTATACTTGTGCTGCTCTTCTCTATAATATATCAGTGTTTTTTTACCGAGTCATTTCTTTTCATGTATGTGAGTTGATCTATACATCTGATCCATGAATATCTCATGTTCTACAGGAATTATCTCCTGATCGACTTCAGAAAGGTTTGCTCTCTCTTTTCTTTGTTCATCAGAATGATTATTCGAATCATTTCAATAAAAGTTCTGATGCTGAACTTCATCACCGCTCTTCTGCCAGCCCTTAAGAAGACATTTTCAGCCGAGAAGAGAAAAGGCAAACTTCGGAAGGCATGGGATGGGACAAAAGTCATTTATAATGTAGCTTCATGGGGTGCTACAGCTGTTGGGTAAGTTATTCCACTAACCCTGGGCATGAACTTTCAAGAAATGTTGACCCAACCTGCATAGCTTGTTGGTAAGCTTGGGTTCCCGATGGAAATACTGCAAATTAGTTTTCTGTCAATTTCATCTCACAAAGCACACAAGCTGCTGAGCATAGTCAAATATGCTGCCAGCTATGCCTTCAGAGTTTGTCTTAGTCAGCCGTTATGTAATCCCTTCCAATCTAGTGAGTTACATACTGAAGCTTCAAAATGCTCCTGAAGAGAGGTTATGCTCTATTGGTCTTCACTAGTCCTAACTAACCCTGGGAGCAAATATGTTATATGTGTTGGCTCCATGATTGATCACTTCCAGTATCTGATGGAGCCAACAAATCTAGACTGGTTCTGGCGTATGTAAGATTGCCATATTGAGGCATCAATTGGGAATGGGACCGGTTCGGACAAGGGACAGTCATACCCTTAAAAAAATTCATCTAAATCATAAATATTAACAGCCTTATTTCATTTGTAAGTACTGCATGTATGCATAATACATATCCTGTGTAATCTGATTGCAGTGCACATTTTTCATGGTAACAGCATCTACAATAACCAATCAATTCTTAAGGCAGCAGGCACAGCCATTCAGATGTCCTGGCGTGTGGTGTCCAAGTTCCTGTGAGTGATGGGTGGTGGTGATTGTTGTAACTGGCGTGCTACATTTATTTAGGTAAAGGATACCACATTGGTTGGAAATGTCCGAGTAGTTGATATACTGCCGATTGAAGAATTGTGGTCTAGAGTATGTCTGTTGGGATGTTTGAAGGATTGAGGCTTAGCGTTTAGGTTTGTTGATTGAAGGCGCGGAAGCCCATTTAAATAAATTATGTTGGTGCTAGAATGTAAATAGGCCATTTATCTGGCTGTGTGCGGCAACTGAAGCTCGGCATATGTATCCCCAAAATGTAAATATGACATTCATGTCAACAACATTGCATTGTGCCAGAATAAACTTTGTGAATGAACTGCACCAAATGAATATGCACACTTGTTTTGATATTTTTATTTCCGTGCCAGAAAAGGAATATGCTCAATTGATTGCAAACAATTGTACTACCACATGTGTGTCGAATGGAGCTTGACAGAATACAGTGGTGATATTGAAACTCGGTAACATCTCCATTGTTTTGTAACTGGTGGCACTTAAAACCGAAAATCTGTACCCTAAAGCACAAGGAGCAATCGCGCCATCACAACCAAATAAGAAACTAATGGCACATCTGGAGCACACAAGCCCAGCCACTGGTGTTGTTCCTTTTATTCTAGGAGACCCACCCAATTTTACACAGATCCAAAACGCAAAGATGAAGGGAATAATCATAGGTCGTCTACATTGCATTCTCCAAGGTAAACCTTGACGCTCCGAGGAGAACCGCAGCTACCTTCCGCTATAAGTGCTCTATCGTTGGCTGCCATGTGCTGAATTATTTTGTATATCATCTCAATCTGATGCAAATAAAGAACATAATGCATGAGTTAAGATATTGCAAAATAGAAGTTGGCAAAAAACATAAGGCATGAGAAAGGTGAAATTACATCTTTAGGGCAATGGCAACGATCTGCGATTTGCTCCAGGGTCAATGGTTCAGCAGGGTCTTTGCAGCTGAAAGAGAACAAGAAACATATGTGACCAACAGGAATATAAGTACCTCCAGAAGGAGCATTCATAGGATTAATCAATGGAAGTCAAAGTACAGGCATAAGTCAACAATATTTCAGTCTTCAGCAGTTCTGGTAATAACCTGGAATTCTGTGATGTGCTGAAATTGAAAGCACATTGCAGTGAAACTAGCAATAAGAGATGCTTGTCATAGGGTAAAGTGCAAACCATGACTGCGAGTTAGTCAAATTTAACCGAGTGGGGCAGCATTTGGTTGCAGCATCAATGGTTCAGCAGGGTCAACAAAAACTGTAATAGGACTCCCTTTGGGCCAAAGTGCATTAATGGTTCTGATGGCCTTCGGGAAAATGGTCGCAAGTGATAAGCAAGTTTAGTCCATAAACAGAAAATCTAGCACGCCTAAGCTTTAGATGTATCTGGTCTGAGACAGTACAGTACTCTGAGAGGAATGCAATGGGATGGACGGTAGAGGGCTGCCTGCGCCCAAAAGCGATGATTCACTTGACCCCTTGTCTATAGGGACCTTGTGGCATACAACCGCCACGACTCCTGCATTGTAGCCGCCCCTTTTTCTCTTTCTTTTGACTGTCTCGTGGACGGACGAAAGAAGGGAAGTTACAGAAGGGGGCAGTGAAGGCTTGCCAAGTAGACAGCAAGTCCCCCACCCCGTCAGTCCTGTGTTGCCGTAGCGTGCCCTACTTCAATAAGGGTTCAGTAGCTTGTCCGAGAGGATGATCAGCCAGCCACACTGGGACTGAGACACAGCCCAGACTCCTACGGGTAGCAGCAGTGGGGAATTTTCCGCAATGGGCAAAAGCCTGACGGAGCAATGCCACGTGGAGGTGGAAGGCCTACGGGTCGTCAACTTCTTTTCTCGGAGAAGAAACAATGACAGTATCTGAGGAATAAGCATTGGCTAACTCTGTGCCAGCAGCTGCGGTAAGACAAAGGATGCAAGCGTTATCCGGAATGATTGGGCATAAAGCATCTGTAGGTGGCTTTTCAAGTCCGCCTGTTCAAGCAGCAGTCTAGCTATCTGATGGCATGTAACTGTCAATCATAATCCATGAAGAATTTCTGAAATCTAGATTAATCTAAACATTTTCAGTTACCCAAGAGACATTCGGCAGGTAACAGAGGGCATGCATACTATGTAATCTAAACATTGCCTGGAATACTACGCAAACAAGTACAGCTTCATCAAAGAACAAAAAATGTAATACTCCCTGTCAAAACACGTCTTATATTTTGATACAGAGGGAGTAAGAGACTTCATACCTGGCCTCATTGAGAACAGTCAGCACCCTTTTCTGAAGGGCCAATACCTCTCCTGCTGCTTTTTTCCCTGCCTCGACACCTGCATCATACAGCATATATAATGATAAGAATGACAATAATAAGTTATGAATCATGAGCAATACTAGTGCATCTTGAGGATAGTACCAGGCTGATGATATGCGTTGATGTTTACTAAAGAAGCATAAATTCCAACTGCACGTTCATAGAGTGCAACCAGTGCTCCAACAGCTCTGGGAGTTACTTCTTCCACAGTAACGGAGATGGACTCTCGGTCATTAGAATAAAGAGCAGAGCGTGTACCCTGCGAGGTATAGGTTTCCTCTGTCATTAATCACCGTATACTAGTGCACAAATTAACATAATTATATGTCTTAAAATCTGAACTCTGAAGACAAACCTGCAACATCCCAAACAAGTAGTCACCACATGTGACTCCAGGTTCAAGCTCCCAATCATGACCTGGAGGCCTGTCACGCAAAACCTCGATAAAAGTAACGAAGAAGTTGTGCACCCCTTCTCTTAGCTGTTGAATGTAACTGAAACCATAGACAGTTTAGTAAAAGTTGCACTTTAACCACAGTAAGTAATGTAAAAAAGTAAGTGTGAACTTACGCATGTTGGTCTGTGCTTCCTTTGTTACCATATACCGTTAGCCCTTGATTAACCTGACATTAAAATTTTATATGCTTAACAAAGCACACAGCTGAGCATAAAATCTGGCAGCTGGTAGTGTAGATACAGAACATCAGGTACTGGGAGTAGAGAAGCAAGGATACATACCCGATTGCCGTCAAGGTCAAATTCTTTCCCAAGAGATTCCATGACAAGTTGTTGTAAATATCTACTCAAAAGTAGCAGACTATCCTTGTAAGGAAGTACAACCATATCCTGGAAGAGGGATAAAGTCACTAGTAAGCAAAGTACTGAAATCAGAAACCTCGACATAAATTGTAACCAATGAAGACACAAACCTTACTGCCTATTCCATCTGTAGCCCAATACCAAGATAACGCAAGTAATGCTGCTGGATTTTCCTTAACCTGGATAAGTGCAAAGCAATATTTGAGACATCTCCATAGTCATATCATATGACCAAACTAGTCTATACATCTAAATCCATACCACAGTGTTCCTGGTTTCCTCATCCATTAGTGCTGCACCAACTAGCATTTCCTTGACATCGATACCCTGTTAAGTGTCAAAAACCACTCATATTAATATGGAATTTCATGGAAGTCCGCTTCTCTGCAACACGGGAAAGTGGAAGGCACTGACCTGTAATGCAGCTGGAAGTAACCCCACCGCTGACAATTCTGATGTTCTACCACCAACCCAGTCAAACATAGGAAATCGATCTAACCATCCCTCTATTCTGGCAGTGTTATCTAATAGAGAATTTTCTTGAGTGATTGCAACACCCTGCAAAACAGATGTGTCATCAGATATCAATTGTTTTACAATAAGGCCGTGAGAGCAATCTGTTTCCGTCTTAAAAAATTGTATGATTGTCTTATGCACAATTTTCACACTGGTTTAGAAAAATCAATTGTATTATCAAGATGAATGCTTACTTATTGAGCAATGACAATGACCACAAAATTATGTATTGATGCATCAAATCCATAGAGAATCGAGTTATACGACACAACTAAAATACTACAAACGCGGTAAGAACTGGATCCAGGGCAGTTCATACAGATTCTCTCCTTGTCACTAGTCTGTACATGAAACATGAGACAAATCATTTCAGTGTACCTCACAACCCTGATAGGATGGCATCAGCATCTATAGTAAATTAGCAGTCCAGAGTAATATTCACTGCTTGCAGTTAAAGATTAGCCCAACATACAACATTTGCCATTTCAATATATGAATTAACATGCAAAAGGGGAAAAAAGAACTGAGGTCAAAACCTGTTTTGAAAAATCCAGTCCAGCATCTCTGAAGGCTTTTTGTACTTCTAGTAGACCATTCCGGGTTTCAGGTGTACCACCACTCTGTACGTATAAACAAGCATGTGATGCGAACAAGTATCTAATAGCAATGGGAAAAGAGGGGCATAATAAGGAGATATAGGAACTATATATGTACCTTAGAGATTACAATTACAAGAGTAGATTTAAGTTCCTCCCCTAGCTGAGCAATTTGATGATCAATTCCAGCAGGGTCGGTGTTGTCAATAAATCGTATCTGATATCAAGCAGAAAAAAAAGGTAATGCTTACAGTGCTTGAAACACACCTAAATACACAGAATGGAAAAATGCAATCAAGGTACATAGCGCAGATTAGAGAACTCGGGACAATACCTTCAATGGGGGGTTATCAGGCGCAAGTGCCTCAGAAACAAATTGAGGCCCCAAAGATGATCCTCCAATTCCTATAGAGAGTATTTGAGTAAAACGACCAGCCTGAGACGACGGAGGTTTAATCTGCATTTTTATAGCAAAACTGGCTTGTAAGAGCTTGTAGTGAACTAATGATTAAAAGTGAAGGTAGGAAAAGCCTGAATAGGCTTAACATAATCGGCATCCATCTCTTGTATGATGCATATTCCCTAAAATACAAGCAAGCCAATCTCCAAACTGTGTGTGCGTGCGCTTGCGTGTGTGTATTACAATGACAGAGCATGCTTACGCACAAACATACTCAAGACTTCCTCATGGATGGCATATCACAGCAACAGAATTGTACAACAAAAACCTGGA